AATAATAATAATAATAATAATAATAATAATAATAATAATTTAATTGTAAAAGCTCATCAAAATACCTTCAGTAAAATCGTGAAATACATCAGGTGGTGATATTTTAAATATGTTCAAATCCATATGTAAAAATGGCGATAGATATTTTATTCCAAATTTACTTTTATGATTTTTGATTGATTTCACTTTATCTAGTTCAGTCCGAAGTACTCTACAAATCAAATATGAATATATAAATTAACATTCAGAAAATATCATTATATCAAATCATATTCAATGCTTTTTCCATAGCATTACTTTCAGACGAAATCATTGTTAAAATCATTGGGTATCTTGGTTGCCTTTAAGATATCCGGTTCATAATGCAGCAATAAATCAACTTTGTAAATTTGGTAATTTTTTCCATTGAAAACTTCGATCGAAAAACAAAGCAACTATGGAAAAACAAGATTGGAAAAAATTCCTTACGTATAATGTCACAAATGGGAAGAATCTTGACATAATGATAATATATTCCATGATTTATGAAAATTTGAACTATTATGCTTGTCACATCGCGTAAGATTATGAAAGAAGTTCATGAAATCATGTTAATTTTCAAAACAACGTATAACCAGGATATATTTTGCTAAAACTGATTTTTCAAATGAATTCAATCATTGATTGTCAGTATAATCCTAGGTAAGTTTTTTTCTGTAATGAATATACATTATAACGATTAATTCATAATTTTGAAATCAATACTTTCACTTAACTTTTTTTCAAATGAATTCAATCATTGATTATTTTAATAATATTTCTCTTTCATTTCATCGAAAACTAGGAATAGATTTGGATAAAATTTGTCTCTTGCCAATATCGGAAACAACATTTGTCACACAGAATTATGTTCTTTCTTTGGATAAAAAAGGTGAAAAATAAGAAGAAACAATGTCTGAAGAAACAATATGCGAAAGATTTAATATCGATGGCGAAAGCGAATAATGGCCCAAAGCATGTCGAACTAAATTTATAAATCGAACGCGTTGAAAACGAATTTAGAACAATTTTTATTTCACGAATGAAAAGAATGAAAAAAGTTCTTTGCCTGTTCAATTAAGTTTGTCAAGTCAATTCGCTTCATTTTAATTTTAACGCAAATATTACGTGTGATAATATATGATAAATTGCTTCTGTTATTTTGATTAATGTCATCAATATTGACCATTGAAATAAATTAATTTTTTTTGATGTTTTGATTAAAACTTGAAAATTCTTTATTTTGTTGTTGTTTGAAATCAATTTTTAATAATTTTATTCTTAAAAACTTTCATTAAATCACATATAAATAATATAATAAGTTGAAAAAATAAAAAAAAATTGATAACTCTTTCGGTATTTTTGGATCATTCAACTATCTGATAAAATGGCCTTCGATCAATCAAAATTGAGTAAACGAGTGCAAAGATTGGTTAAACTAATTGATAAGCATGATGAACCTGTAAAAATATGTAAGAATTTTTGTAAAATAGTTGATTTAGTTAAATCGTCAGATGGAATCTTTAAAATCAATCAAGATTATTGGGAAAAAATAGATAATTTTATTAAAGTAAAATTGAATGATGAATCTTTTTTGAACGAACATGAAAATCATCCACATCATAAAACAATTACCGATCATCTTGTTTTTTGGAATAATTTGGACGATAAAATTAAAAAATACGTAAGTTTTTTTTGAATCAAACATGATTTAATAAATATTTTTCCTACAGAAATTAAAATTGTCAAACGAGCATCAATTGGTAATTGATCTAAAAAAATTAAAAAAAAAGAAATGCTCTTTCGTTCGTTGTGATAAGCATGATAAAAATTTTGAAAAACCTATTACTCTATATAAGCATATCCGTATCCATCATCGGTGAGTTCTGTATATATTAACAATTTTTTTCTTCATCATATTCGGAATTTTATTTAAAGAGAGGCCTATGTAGAATCGACAATAAATTGTTCCATTTCGAGTGTCGAAATTAGCCAGGAACACAGCTACTGCAGAGAAAATTCCAATGATGATGAAACAAATGCTGAAGAAAATGCTGAAGAAAATGCTGAAGAAAATGCCGAAGAAAATGCTGAAGAAAATGCTGAAGAAAATGCTGAAGAAAATGCCGAAGAAAATGCTGAAGAAAATGCTGAAGAANATGATGATGATGATGATGATGTTGATATGAATGTCTTTTTAAATTCTGATGTTTCGGTTGAAAAATATTACGATTTTAAAGACGAACATGATTATTGTAAACAGTACCTTCGTGATACGGAAACAAATGAATCAAAAAATGTCGAAGAAAAGGTTACAACAACAATTTCTATCAGTCATGATGATGATGATGATGATGTTGATATGAATGTCTTTTTAAATTCTGATGTTTCGGTTGAAAAATATTACGATTTTAAAGACGAACATGATTATTGTAAACAGTACCTTCGTGATACGGAAACAAATGAATCAAAAAATGTCGAAGAAAAGGTTATAACAACAATTTCCATCAGTCATGATGATGATGATGATGATGATGATG